CATATCCAGTCAGAGCCCCTGATTTTGATAATAATGTTGCTATGAATGAAATTACGATCTTCCCTGAAAGTCATATGGTAATGTTCTTTGCATATATATATATATATGTATAAGAATACTCTCTAATAACTCTGTAGCTATTTTGTTCATACTGTGACTTTTCTCAGGAAAACAATACAATTGGAAAGGTAGGTATAGGTCATAGGTACCTGGATACTGTGGGTTTTTTGATTGCATTAGAAATCTGTATAGTAAAGTGAATTTCTATTTAGACAGCATTTGGGTGTCTAACTGTGTAGGATTATAATTCTGATTAGGACTTGAAACAGAATGAAAATTGAAAACATAAACATTCTTAAATGGGCACAGCTCTGCTTGATTTTACATCAGTGTTCCTTACTTGGGTTCTTGTTGCAGAGGGAGCTGTGTATCATGCTTGCCATAAATCTACATACTCGGTTCTCCCTGAAGACTACAACTGGTATGTAAACATGCTTTGATGTGTGGCCTTTTCATGTAATGTGTATTCCAGGGCTACTTTCTCTGTCATGAAGTTGTTGTATAATGCTGTCATTTTCTGCCAGTATTGGATATATGTAATAATTTTAGCTAAAGTACTGATTCCAATAGTAATAATGATAGTGAAGTTAATATTTCAAAAAATAAGTGTAATGAAAAATTACACAGGACCCATTCTGATGATATCGACATCAGCATGTTGATGACCCCAGTACCCCTGCAGTTTTGCTTGCAGAAGAGCAAAAGTAGCTTAGAGTTGTCATTTCCATTGGTGCTCATTGTTAAGACAAAGTCCCAGTATATTTTTGCTGCTGCATGGGAAACTTGAGTAGAAATGGGAAAAGACGATACAAATATAGTGAGAAACACAGAATCCATGGCATCCATGGTTTTAGGAAGCTTAATGTGTCATGGGAAGGGGAAGGAAGGTGACAAAAGCCATATTCATGCAAAGAAATTCTCAGTAGGACATCTTGTTCGTCATCTTTTACCAAAGAGAAAAGTTGGAACCCCAAACAGAGCTTTGTTTCCAATTTTTTCATTGTAGGTGCCATATTTCTTATAAAGGCATGTTGTCCTAGAGGTCATTTTCCCCATCTGTTTAGAGTTGTATATGCAACTCTTAAAGACTTCTTGTCCAACCCATATTTCCAGCTTTTTTTAATACTTTCTTTAGCTCTTTTTTCCTCTCCATTCACAAAGAAAGATGAAGATGACTGGGGGAACAAAAAATTGGAAGTTCAGATCAAATACTTGTGACCCTTATTTTATATAGAAGATTATTAAGAATTCATAAATGCAGGGTCAAATCCAGTTTTCTTTAGGACTTGGGCTGCTCAGTTGTTCAGCATTTCTGAAAATTATAAGTTTGTTTTATTTTCATAGCAAAGTGGAACTTGCAGTGACATCAGATTTGAAGACAATTGTCTGCTACCACCCTTCGCTTGAGATTCCATATGAGCATACAAAAGTATGTGCAAACGTACACATTTATATTTCTTACTCTTGTAAAGGCATTTATTAGTTCATAGGTTTGAGTCTTTAGGGCATCTTTTTTAATTTGAAATACTGAGATACTTTTTAGTATGTGATCAACATCTCTATGAAGTAAGTGAATGATGAATACAGCTGCTGCCACAAGGAGAAACTTAGTTGAATTGAGGGAAAGTTGCAGAGTAAGAAAAGCTCAGATATCACAGCACATAGTAACTCAAATAGAATTAAACAGGGCACTCGGATACTTGGGCACTGCAGAGAAAACTAGTGTCTGTCTATGAACTACTCAAAGAGGATGATCAGAATGCAGATTATAGTGCACATATGCCACAATCTGGGCAAGAGAATATAAAGAAATGTTGCCTCTACTGTTTTCAACTCAAACTTTAAATTCCATTCAGCACTCTTGAGCCAAAAAAAACCTTTAAATACTGATTTTTATCTATCAGTAGTACTTTCAGTGTGTTCTTTACATTGATGAAAGTAAGTCTAGTGTTGTGATTTAACATCTAGATAAACTTTTCTAGTGTACACTTCTTGTTTGAATTTCCAGTTCTCATGTGCTAGTAAAATACTGCATCTGGTAGCCATGTTGCTGAAGTACCCAATGTGACAATTCTCTATTGAAACTTAAAACCTTGTAGCACTCTTTGCGTGCAAGTTATATATTGGTATTTTTGAATCTGTCAGTTGCATGTTCCTCAGGAAAAACAGGTGAAACAAGGAAAAATATTTATAATAGTGCTAGTAGTTAGGTTTCCAGTTGAAAACAAACAACTTTGTCTTAGCTGGTGCATAAAAAATTAGGAAGTGACATTCTTCTCAAAGGTACACATCAGCTAAAAACTTTTTAGCAACAATGATTGTCACTATGAATAAAATTCTAATTAGGAATAATATGGATACTTCTGTATTAGTAGAACTGAAGCTTATGATCCAGCTAGTGAATTTTAAGAATGAGATCAGCAATAATGATGACAAGAATGTTGGTGTTAGGGGTAGGGTAATCAGCTGGAGCACCTGGGGTAATTAGATATTTCTAGACATCTGCTCCACAGTGGTGTGGTTTCATTTGGGATGGGCAGGCAGGGGCGATAAACAGCTTGTACAATTGCAGGCATTTTTCTGTATTCCTTTGGTTTCAGCTGTTAGACAGCATTACAGTTTACTCTTATGTAGCCTGGCTTTTTGACTTTCTCAAAAAAAAAGAGAAAAAGGATATACTTATACATTACTGTTTTTATAGCCCATACCACGGCCAGATCCAGTGAATAATAAAGAAGAAAACCTTGATCAAGTTTTGAAATCCAGATTGAATGAAAAAGAGCTAAAGAACAAAAGAGGTCCTACAATTGAAGAGCTCAGCAAAATGTTTTACACAACTAAACATCGCTGGTATCCTGTGGGACAGTAAGTATTTTCTTTTCAATGTTTGTTCCTTTTAGCAGTAAAAGGAAATACAGGAATAATTTAATGACCAGATGCAATCTAGGATGAGTCATGTGAGACAAGATATGTGGACTATTACATAAAATTTTAAATGCAGTGTTGTGTAAATGGAAGACTGTATTTCATGAGGGTTTTTTTAACACTGCCTCTTTGTTTGGTAGCCTTTGCCTCTTTTGTCACAGTGTCGAAATTTCTCATACCATCTAGTTAGTTACTGGTTTGGGTCATTTATTAAAGTTACATAACAGAATCTAGTATGTAAAATACCCTCAGTGGACATAACCAAATACAGCTTGGAAACATGCATTGTCTATTCCTTAACAACTTTTCTGAAAAAAGCCCTCAGTGGGATAATTCCCAGACTTAAGAGCAGTAGAAGTTTTTCATTTGAAATGGTGAAAACTTCACCTTGGTGTGCCTTGTATTCAGAAATCGAGGAAGAAAGGTGCAAATATGCATGACTGAGCTTAAAGAAGAACTATGTACATTCAGATATACTAATGGAAACAAGCAGCATTCTGGTTTGTGCTACTCCCAGTCCATGTTACTACATATTTTGGTAGCTGCTAATTTTATAACTATGAAGACATAACACACACAAATTTTTGGGGGTTTATTGTCTGCAGAAAACTTTAATTAATGTGCTTTGGGAGTAGATATAAGGAATGGAATGGTAGGACTTTCATGACCAAAGGGTAGCTGTCACTTTAATGAGGATCAAACAGGATCTATCTTGTCTTAGGGTGCATAATTAAGAGGAAAATATGGATCATTTTTTGTTGTTAAGAATTTGTTTTTCAGTTTGTCTGTAAAATACTACACTATTTAACACACAGTCTGGCTCAACTCCTTTAAACATCAGGTGTCTGTTCTATAGCAATCATTTTAGCCAAAGGGAAAGCTGACCATGTAATAAAATTAACTTCACACAAAGGATTAAGAATAAACAGCAGCCTTTGTGCCTATTCAGCTGTAGAACTGATTGGATTATTGTGTGCTTGTAGCAGATGTAACAATAGAAATGAGTAACGTTATGTAATTCCACAAACAACAGAGATGGCATCTACTGAGTGGTGATGGGTAGTGCTTGTGTATCTTGTGTTTTGCTTACATGTGTAACCTCAGATCACTTACTGGGGGCAAAAATATCAGGAAAATAAAGACTGTCCACAGTCTTGCATTCATTGCACCCTTTTTTTTCTTCTAGGTATCACAGAAGACGCAAGAATCCTAATCCTCCCAAAGACCGATAATTAAGATAATTTCTTGATCATCAGCACTTTGCTGTTAATCTTTATTAGAAATAAAAATTACAGAAAATGAGATGTTTGGCTATAACAAAACACTTAATTTGACTGTTATTTTCCACTTTAACTAGTTGACAGAAAAATGGCACTGATGAGACAGAGCGTCAGTGAAGGCAGTTGTGCATGTGCCTGGTCAGCACATGGGCCGGTTTTAGAATGGAGAACAGGATGTAACAGGCCATGGAGTGCTCTGACTATACTTGGTCACAGCCTCATTGTTTATAAAGTGAATCCATACAAGTCTTGTGTCAAAATGGGAAGTCTAGAAATGGACACATTAGGGTTTGGTGGTTTGCTGAGGGTAATAATTTTTTTTCTTCTTTAGAAATTTAGTAACGTAAATGCAGGTAAGCTTGAATACTGAGGTATTAATAAAAGAGTGTTTATGAAAAATACTGTATGAGGTATTTATGAAAACAAATAGTTTTGCTTCTTCTGTTACACTTGTAAGATACCTGGTTCCATGTTTGATTCTACGTCGGCCAAGAGATTGTATCTAAGGCTATTGTTGTGTACTGAAAACTGGCCAACTTGGTTTTAATTTTTAGCATCCATAGAATCATAGAATTGTCATAGAATCAACTGGGTTGGAAAAGACCTGAGATCATCAAGTCCAACCCTTGATCCAACACTGCCATGGTTACTAGACCATGGCACTAAGTGCCAGATCCAGTCTCATCTTAAAAACCTCCAGGGATGGTGAATCCACCACCTCCCTGGGCAGCCCATTCCAATGTCTGATTACTCTCTCTGTAAAAAATTTCTTCCTGATATCCAACCTAAACCTCCCCTGGCACAGCTTAAGCCCATGCCCTCTTTTCCTTGTGCTGGTTGCCTGGGAGAAGAGACCGACGCCCACCTGGCTACAATCTCCTTTCAGGGAGTTGTAGAGTGTGACAAGACATAGTAACTTGTCCTTCAAAATCACCCAGCGTTCCCAAATACCTGAGAACTTCTGTGTGCATTTGTGATTCATGGGCAGTTTTTTTGTTTGTTTAATTCCCAGCTACTGCTCAGTGAGGATGCTACAGCTATTCCAATTTATATATGAAGTTCTTTGCATCTGCAAGGTAATCACTGAAGACTCCCAGCTCTTTGTAGCTTACTTAATAGGAAGGGTTGACCCTTTATTATATAAAATGCTTTAAATTAAAGAAATTTGGTCTGATTCTACCTCATTGCTTTAGCATTTTGTAGTGCTTAAGTGTTCCTGCTCTTGTAATATTCTATGTCATGCAGCATTTTTTCCCTCAGGAAAAGGCAATTCTGTGTTCCAATCTACAGTTTTAGGCATCGGCCTTCTGATAAAAAGGGCTGGCTTGGAACATTGTGCCTCTGCAGAGATCCCAGTGACTTCATAAAACCTTCTTAGCAGATCCTTGTAAATAACCAGAAAATAGTTACTTCTCATACAGGATACATTTTTATTGCATTTCCTTTCCAAAGCAAGCTGGATAACCTAAGAAGGTTTTTGTTTCCTCTGTTAGTTTAGTGCCATTTTGTCAGCATGTATTATCTACAGATTTTGCTAGAAGTTGAGTACTGTATGGAGCCTCTTATCTTGGTCATTGTTAGTTTCTAAAGTTATCACTAAATCACCTTTTTTTCTTTGAATGTCCTTAAATTGTGAAAAAAGTGATGTTGGATGTGTGTAAAAAGACTGCCTTTAAATACCTCTGGAAAATTTTATGTAAAGCTAGTCTAAGTGCATTTTTAAATCTGAATGCCGGGTAGCTGATAATGGTTTTTCATTGCTCTGTTGTGCTTGTAAGATATGAGTCCGTGCTTAAGCCGACATCAGCCAAGTGATTTTGGCTCCTTATTAATGATGTGTTACTCACATAACAAACATGCTGTTTGGAGGAATGTCTGTGCTGCCTATGCAAAGGATGTCTGCTTAACTCTGCAAGTACGATCACATGAACATAATTGTGGGGTTTTTTCTGCCTAGAATATAACTTTTAAAATAGTTTGTAGTAATTTCTAGTACAACAAATTTTAGTATTTTCATCAGTTCATGGTGCCTGGTACTGACACTGGCACATAACTGAGATGACATCTCTTGTAGTGTTTTATTATGTTCCACAGCTTAACTGCATTGAGTCCCCTTTATTTTTAGAAAGCTGAGACCTAATTTGTCACTCCAGTGTAAGAAAAAATATTCTTGGACTAACTTAAACTTTCAGTTATTTCCTCCCCCCCTTTTCTCCAATACTTTTGCTTATTGCTGCCTAATACTGCTAAGACATTTTGTTTTATAGAGACCTTCTGTTATGGCATTTATCTGTTCATGCCTAACCCTGTTTATGTTTATCAGTGTAGAAATGCTGGATTTCTCAATGTTTCCCAAACATTTTTGGATGCTTTTCAGGCATTTTGAGGGCTAAAAATCTATTATGTACTTGATTCCTATCTTTAAAGTACCTTCTCTTCTGACCAGTTACTGGAAACTGAGTCTAAAACACCTGTTCACTACATATGTCCTCTGACATTTTGTTATTAATTCATAACATTGATGTTTTATCCCTGCATTGCACTGCCTCTTTCAATATTTCTCTGTTTGCTTCTACTAAATCTTTTTCTGGGGTCATCTGAAGCATGACATAATTAAAATACTACTCTCAAAGGAATTTGAAGCTCTCTTCTTGATTTTCTAGGTATCAAACAAGTACATAAAGTTATGTTTCTCTTCACTTGAAAACTTGGAATTCAAAATTTATCCACCCACTTGATTCTTGTCCCTCTTCTATGCAAAAGGAAATCCATTTGAAAGTTAGTTTGGGACTTCTGTTTTCTGTTGCTCTTGTTCCTTGGAATTGAAAACTTAAATTGCATAAAATTCACAATGTTAAGTCTACTCTGGCACTTTATATGCAATTTGGGGCACTTACCCTTTTAGACTGTGTATCTAGTAGCTGTTAAGTGTTCCAGACCATGTTAGTTCATTGCTGTGGATAGTATACAGTTGGGTGCATCTTACTGATTGATTTTTGGTTTTTAAATGTCTCACTACAAGTCTCCTCAGGCCTTGCTTGCCTGCATGCCTTTAGAAAACTCTGTTTCAGTCAATTATCAAAAATCTTGTCCGTAATTCAGGGTATCACAGAATTGTTAGGGTTGGAAGGGACCTCTGGAGACCATCCAGTCCAACCCCCCCCACCAGGCAGGGTCACCTAGAGCAGGTGACACAGAAATGCATCCAGATGGGTTTTGATGGTCCCTCCAGAGAGGGAGACTCCATGACCTTCCTGGGCAGCCTGTTCCAGTGCTCTAGAAGAGGAATTCCAACCATTTAAATCGCAGTTCGATTTATCCTGATGCCTTCATGAAAAGAATTCTTTTCACTGCCCCTAGTAGTTAGCCCTGAATTAAAAACGGAAGATGCTTTTAAGACGGGCCTTTTCTGTGTGCCACTGCTGATGTTTTGCAGATTCTGGGTACCACCACCAGGAGGCAGCCTTGTCCAGGAACGAGACTGGATCTGTCAGAGATCCTCGAGGACTTGGCTGTGTGGTCAAATTTAACCAAGAGACGGGAGTAAGCTGCAGTTCTTTGCTTCAGTTTGTAAGTACTTCAGAAAAAGGAGCTCCCAAGCAGGTCCGAAAGTGGTTGGATTTAAAGGGTCAAAGGTTCTTATGTGGGGCTTGCCTGTTTGCTTTTAACTTTTGTAAGGTGTCTCAGAGATGTATGTTCATGTTTAAACCAAAAAAGCTCCACCCTCCCAGTTTGGGAAAAAATTAGTCGACAGAGGAGCATGTGACAAGTGTCATGTCTTTATATTTCAGTTCCTCACGACTACAATGAAGGCAGCAGTTACACATCCACCCATCTCTCCCTCCCCACCCTTCCAGCTATTCAGTCCTGTAGGAAAGTTCTCTTCTTGTCCGTTGCTGTTGTATTGGGTCTGAACTTCATCTGTCATGTCCAAGTTCTGTTGTACCAGAGTAAATCGTTGTGGCAGGTCCATTATAAGTCACAGTACTGACTGCTGTTTAAAGCCAGCACTGCATTTCTCAGTTACTCCAGTCTTTATGAATTTTAGCAGCTGCTCTGCTGTAATTTCTCAAGTGCTCATTCCATCCTCCAAACCAATACAAAGTTATAAAAGACAAAATAGATGTAGACTGCATTCCTCATCTGTAATAGAGGATGTATATTTTATTTTAATGCTACAGTATAGTAAAAGTGACTTAAAGCAAACCCACTAGTAACCAGAATAAAGAAACAAATCGTGTACCCACAATACATAAAAGTTGGATTTGTCTCCAGGATTGAGACAGCTACTAATTAGACATCAAAGCCTGAGTTAATCTTTGTAGGCTCCCCTTATAGTCAATTGACGTGGAAAAAATACCTACATAAGGCAGTTGATCTTATTTTAACATTTTATTGTATAGACTATGTCACACAGTTGTTCTCTGGAGGTACATTTTCCTTCTCTGTGAAGGGAGGATGAAGATGAGATTCAGATGTCTGTATTGGGGTAAATGAAAGCAGTCTTACTACTTTTTTTTTTTAATTTAGGAGAGTATCTATGTAAAAGGAAAATACTTCTCTTAAAATTTGGATAGAACTATTTTTGCTGTGTCTGCTAGCCTTCAACAGTGTGTAGCCCGTATATAGGAAATCTTGCTTTTCTATATAGAGTAATTCACATACATTTAATTTGTCACTTTGAATAAATTGTGTGTAGGTTTTTAATCTCCCTTCATATTTAATCAACCCTCCAATGCTAAAAGATAATAATTAAGCTATTTTGTTTGTTTCGCTCAGTGTGTAGTCACGGGAGAAATAAGATATGTATCTTAGTAGCACCTCTTCTAAAATGAGCTCATGATTGTAACTGTTACTTCGAGGTACTTCTAGAAAAATTACACAATAAATTATGGTTTACTGAGCAATTTGCCCAGAATTATCTGAAAATTTAGATACAGTTGACAAAGATTGTTAGTTCCACTGTATGTAATGACAGCGGCTGGGACACTGCAGATCAGACAGTGGGAGCAATGTGGAAGCTGTGTGAACTAAACAGCATGTTTGGCCAGCAATTTTCCATTGCATGGCTTCTGGAGAAGTAAAAGTTTATGGCCTGGTGTGCCACTTTAGTAAATGATGTAGGTGAGAAGTGATAATCAATATATCACAAAGTTTTTCATCACCTGGAGGCACCTCAAGAGGTTGGAATGGCCAGTAGAACTGGAAACTTTGCCAACTGGTCTTTATGAAAAATAAGTAATACATACAGAAAACAATTGTTCTAATATTCAGCTTTACTGCTTGTCAAGATGATAAACAGTCTCAGGTCAGAGGTGATTTACCTTTTTATATAAGGCCAGTTTTGACAACTACTGAAGTTTACAATTCCTCAGCAAAAGAATGTCCCTAACCAGCAAAATATGAGATATTAAAAAAAGAGAAATTCTGGAAGAGCTGTTTTTTAGCATCTTTTCTGCTAGAACTAATAAAATTCTAATCAGGTAAGTACCACAAAAAAATTCAATGAACAGTGAAAAGTGATTGTTGAATTAGGCTACTGCATTAAGCTATTACCAGGTAGAATAAAGTTTAACCTAAGTAAAAGATTAAACTATTAAAGCAGGATACTGTACAAACATGTATTTCCTACTCACTAATGGTAACAAAACAGAGCTTAACAGTTTCAAGCAAAGATCAGTGTTTCTTAAACACTGCTAGTCATTAGCACTAAGTTTTCTAAACACTGCTAAAGTTTCTTAAACACTGCAAGTTTCTCATTCAAATATGTTTTATTTGTTTAAACAAATAATAAGCCAAGTAGCATTTTTCTGAAGTTAACATCAGCAGGAGTTACGCTGCATCAGAACTGTGCTGCAGTAGTGATCCTCACCATCTGCTTTAGTTAAGACACACTGATGATTTCAATTGAATAATTGAGGAAAAAATTTTCCTTGACCCCTAGTTAATTAACATTTGGTTGGTATAAGTAGCATAAGGCTTCATATCCTTCTTTTTAAATTTATTTTCTAATTTTTAATCCTGACTGGTTTCAGTATGGGTTCACTTGTTATTTTCCAAGAATAGATGTTTATAGAACTCCCTCTCCCGCATGCTATTTTTCATACAGTTAAAATCCTGGCATTGGTGATGGGGAAACTGAGGTTGGCAGTGAGTTCCACAAAATTTAGAATTTTAAGAAATAGGATTTCCTATCCAGAGTAGAAGACCAGTGCAAGCAAAATTCATGGGGAGTTTACCATAAGCAGAGGTAAGAAAAATTGCAGAGAAACTCCCTTTCTAGAGCATATATTTGTATCAAATCTACTAAAATAAACATGCTGTATCTTGGCTGCATGGGTTACAATTCATGGACTTTATGTGGCCATATTTGTTGAAGAAAGATTTGAAGTGAGCCCAAAGAGGCCACTGGTAAGGCACACAATGGCCTGTGAAGAGAAGAGTGGTTAGTACCTACACAGTGCTTAGCCAGTCCTTGTCCAGTGCAAGGACAAAAGCTTGAATTGCTGGAACTTGGTCAGTGTTTTGTTTCAATATGACCAAGATTTTAAGTCATGACTTTGTGGAAATGACACAGGAAATACAGTGATGCCTTTATCCTGCAGTCAAAACGCCTGTCTGTGCTTTACCATGCCACAGTGGCTCCAGCAGCAGGCAGATGCTTGGGATCCATCCCTCTGAGCTCATCCTTACTGCAGCAGGCTGGGGAGCAAGCTCAAGCCCCAGCTGCTAGTCCCCACAACTCTTCATTACCTCCCATGTTCCACCAAGCCCTTTTTCAAGCAATGGCTGCCCACTGCTGCAGGGAGAGTCTGCACCAAGCACTGCTCCTGATATCACATCTTGTTTGACTTCGCGCTGCCTGCTCTTCTAAACTGCTCGAGCTGTGCACCCTCAAACATGACCACATGCCAAAACATATAACACACCCCCTCACTTTCATGCTAGGAAAGCACCCTTCTCACAACCTGTAATACAGTTTCACGTAATTTCAGATACTTCAAATTATCTAAAAAGATAACACAAAAAATCCCAGAATGGCATGTTGGATCTATAGGGGCACCAGAAGGAGTCCAAGGAGGACTGCTTGATGTGAATGTGGGAGTCTGCTCAAGAGGGAACTAGCCCCAGCTAATGTGAATATAAGCCATATATGTGCCCCTTATATTCCCAATATAAGTCTTTCTTAACATCAGGGACTTTTTTTTTATTATTATTTAGAAATACAAGTATGCCCTCTGAAATCAGGTAGTGTGAACCCACAGCATTTTTGCAGATTACCTGAGCTTAGACTGCCTTTGTTCAGAGTACCAGGTGTGAATGAGTCTAGCACAGGCTTATACAGACACACAAAACCAGCAACTCACACACATAATTACTGTTCTCTAAACAACCTGAGTCGTGAAGATTCTCCAGTCCAGTTCACAGAGGCCCCTGTTGAGACTCCTGTAAAATTAAAAGGATTTTTCTTCTGAATAAAAAAAATATACAGAGAAGAAAGCGCATTTCTGTAACTTCAAAAAAAATCTGGATTTAAGAGCAAGCATCTTCTTACACAGTCCATGTTGGAGTAAATGAACCATACCAAAGGTCAGTAAATGTCAATGTTCTGTAATTTTCAGCCTTCAGAGGATCAAAGAAATCTAAAGATGTGGTTCAAGTTGAGACATTTGGCAAAATAATGAGGTGGAAAGCTTTCAAAGTTTTCTGGAGAAAAAACCCTACAGTAATTGGACATAATTCTTAAAATCTTCATTTAGGCATTACTAAATAAAAATGCTGTTTCCTTTTCTGAGCTAATGAAATGTCAACAAAAGAAAATCGTGGTATAAAACCCAAAGAGCTGTTTTTCAGTTATTTTCAGGACATAAGAGGTTTGTTTATTCAAAAATCTGTGACACTAGCAAATAAGCTGTTCACTTTAAACAGTTTGACAGGTGTTGTTTTGGTTTTTGTTTGGTTTGGGTTTTTTTTCATTTTCAGCTGTATTTTACAATAAATTAATTTTGCTAGAAATACACTACCAGTTCAGCACAGATTTTTTTTAAACAATTAATCTCCTTACCTGGCATACTTTTGTTGCCTTAGAGCAGCCCAAGGAACTGATCTTGAAAATGCCCAAGGAGATTAAAAGATAAGCTTCAGTCGATTGTTGAAGGATAATTTAGAACCCTAACTGATCAGTCATTTAGGGAATTTCATTGTTGTTGCTTCACCTCTTCAATCAGCTAGTCCAAAGGGATCTCATTAACATCTCACTAGTACCTCTAAGTGGGAATTTTGACTAGATTGTCACAGCTTCCAGAAATAATCTATTTTTAAGTGCTAAGTATATAAATGCAAATTGAGTGGAAACAGCTGTTATTTACATTCTGTGGACACGTGATTTCAGTCCCTGATGCACAGGGGAAGAAAAAAAGCGACTGAAAGACTGAAATGCCATTAAAGAAAATGGAAAAATAGGGATCTAATAAAAATACATGCAATGGACCATACTGTCAGGTGGCATAAATTGGTAAAGCTTTACAGGTTTGCCACCACAACATTATATAGCCCACCTGCCAGGAGGATGTGAAGAGCTCCATGTATTTCTTGGAGAAAGTGGGGGGAGGAGTTGAAAGAATGAATACACTGAAACAAAAGCATATGAACAAATTCACGTTTCAGCCTTTTATGCAGTGGCTAACAGAGAACCAGGCTGTTTTCAGAAACAGTCTCACAGAACAAAGCCCCCATTCACAACAAGATTTTGCTATGGACTTAGTTTGAGATTATGTTCTGGAAAAATTACAAAAGCTTCTGAAAAATGTAAGCAGCATATTCTAGACCAGTGTGCCTGAAAGTAGAGGGCTGCGCTGGAGAGAAAAGGAAGCAGAGTGTGAAATTTCCCCCTTTCAATGAACCAACTTTTTATGAGCCTGGCAGAGGCCCTCCTGCGTGTCCTCTCTACATGGCCCCCTTCAGTTACCTGGAGCAGGTCCCTGCTGTCATGTGTTCCACTGGAAAGCTCACGCTCCCTCCTGCCACGCCTGCTTCTATTTGTAACATCACCAACAACCACTTAGAGTAGAAAGAAGTAACAGACTGTCCTCAGAAAAGGTTAGGCATGTTAAAAAACGTACACAAAACACGGCTTCTAATTTCATTTGGACCAAACCCACTCAGTCAAATCAGCAAGAAGAACGTGGGCCGGAGAATTAAAAGTGGGATTTTTTTGCTGGGATTTTTTTCCTTATAGGAGGAAAAGGAGTTGACATACTCAGCACAGTTAAAGCTCAAGCACCACAGAAACGTTGATTCTTAAGTGCCTGTTGAGTGATTCCCTCCAAGATTAGTTCTGTTTGACTTAGGATTGCTTTGTGCCTGCCAGCACACAAAACCTGTCATAACACAGGGAAAGGTGGAACAGAAATTTCATTCTCGTTCCATTTCAGATACACTCTTGCCTGCTGCTCTGTCCTACGCAAACAATACATCCAATGTCTAAATGCATCCTTTAGTTCCTTCCCAGAATAAAGACTGATCTACAGCAGCAGATTTTGCAGCTTCCTTCCATCTAGCATTATGTGGCATGAAATGCTGGGGAAAAAGTCTACTGTGCCTCAGGCATCTTTCTGGATCAAATTTATTCGCAGAGGGATAATTTATCAGAGAAGTGAGCTCTGAAGAGACTACTAAACACAATGTTAAAATTTTGAAATACAGGGCAATGGCACTGAAAGTCAGAAAACATGTCTAGCCCAAGCTCACACTTTATAAAAGGCTTTGAATATTTTGTAATAATTATGGATATTATTTCCCCTCCTCTGTTAATTTATAAAGACAGAGATAATAACAAACTTCAGCAAATCTGAGTTTGGTTACACCGAGCCATCTGTTAATTCTGGTATATGGCAGTAGAGGGCATCTAAGGACTTCAAGTCACATATGGTAAGGGATTAAAATCAGATGGCTGAAGGAGTTAGTTCGTTCACCCCACCCCGTGACATCTTGCCACCTCACAACCAAACAGCTCTCGAAGCTGCTCCTGAACGATGGTAATTTTGAGCCATGCTGAAACTGGAGTTGATCTTAACACACCAGACTGAAAGCTGAAGTTGTTTAGGAGGAGATGCAGGAGTTAATGTTTCTTCCCTGCTGGAAGCAGTGGTCTGCCAGAGCCACAGGAAGGATGGTTTCAGACACAGTACAGGGGGAGATAGTAACTGCCTCAAGCAGTCTATCCAATTTTATCTACTACTGTTTGAGCTTTAATTTCCATACCTGGCAAAACTGCTTACAGGAGCAGCAAGCAATTCTGGGAATGACAGGCCGTACCAAGAGAAGGCAAGCTGTGGACCAATGCTCTTTACTTAACCAGAAAGAGTAGACCTATGTCTACTTCCTCTGTTGAGCCTAAAAAATGCCAATCTGTCTATCTGGCCTGTGCTTCAGTTTATGTCCTCCCAACATGCTAATCAGTTATAGAACAATGCCTCGAGCCATCCTAACAAAAATCAAGCATGAATCCTGACAAATATAGAGAAGGTAGTTAGTTGGCAGCTAGCACTGTTTTCTCGTCATCTGTCCAGGTTTGTAAGACATTCCACATCCAGCCTCTCTCTGTACTGAAGCAGGGAAAGCAGCCATGCCTATCTTGAGCCGAAAGAAGCCAACACGTCAGAGGCAGGTTAAGTTCATTACCTGACATTAGCACTTAATGCACTAATTTGAAAAATGTATTTGAGCCCAAAAGCATATTCACATACCATGGGCACATATTTTCAATTAACTATAAGAAGTTTAAAATCATATAAACATATTAGTAAATGTTGATTAGCCTGTTATTCAAACTTCTAATACAGCAACACAGCAGGCCTTATGCTGAAGTCTATTATAGCCTTAACCTGAAATTTAAAAGTGGCTCATGCCCAGGAAAAGGTTCTACAACTCATTTAATGATCCACAGCACTCCTGAAATGATATTCATGTGTCTGCTCTCCATGGCAGCACTTTCAATCATAAACACTTAATTGCGGGAATTCATCCACAAGGCCAAATAGTTCTGCATGAATTAAACCATCTTTAATATAAGAATTAGAACAGTGATTTTAAAATAATCTTTTTCTGATGGGAGGCCATTTATTCACAGACATATAACCCAATTTCTTCTTCATCTTCATTTTCCTTTGTACTCAAATATCTCCCCTTTAGAGATAGCCACTTCATCACCTGTTTTGGTTTTCCCTATTAGTTTCAGAACTGACTCTTTGCCAACAAAGGAACTTTAATTGCTTAAGGACTGGCCGAGCACAGCAGAGCTGCCTTCATGCCGTCTGTCAGGAAAACTTTTTTCACAGACATTACTTGCTTTCTTTTACTTTGGGAAGTAGGACTTGCAACTGGCAAGAAAACAGCTCAAGCCTCCTCAATCTTAAAAGGCTTGTTTTTTCTGGCAGCATCTAGAACAAGAATGCAAGATTTCACAGTGCTTTCAGCTGTGCTATCTCTAGGATTTTTCTAAAACAAAGAGTGTATGTTTCTTTAAAAATCCAGAACTTCAAAGAGCGTGTTTCTGAACATGCGTATGTATAGGTGTATGTGTATATATACACCTATATGCTCTTTCTCAGCCAAAAGAACAAGGTAAATAAATATTACAGTCACAGCATCTTATACTATAATCTGAATATTAAAATCCATAGCATATATTCTCCTAGTAGTTGTTTGAAATGAGTGTACCAAAATGGTCCTTTCCAGCAGTCTTTTTTCTACTTTTTTTCTACTTACAGCTTATCCTTCAGTAACTGTCAGCAATATTTAGCTAGTGTTAGTCAGAGTGAAATTGGATAATTCACAAAATAACAAAGTAATAGACCAGAATTCTGCTGTTTATAAAGAAGCCTAACACAGTATAAAGTGAAAAATGCTGTGCAAATTATCTTTTTTTTTGTACGTTCTACTTTTCCTTTACGAGTCCATCCAAATTACTTTCAGTTATTTTGGTTTTACTTAAAATTGTAAATAGCAGAGAAACTAAGAAAGCACTACATTTAATTATTTTCATTGAAGATTCTAAGTGTGTCTAGATAACCTCTTACTCACTGCAGTTGAGGCCTTTAGTTTTAAACAGTAGACAGCACATGATGAGGTGAGAGCTGGACTTAAATGCCACCTTTTTCTGGTCAGTTCCATGCTTGTCGATGGTTATTTACCTATCCACTGAACCAAAGGAAATGATCCTTTGTTATCTCAATGGTCTCTGAAAGAAAAGAATCTGGATGTTATTTCAAAGTACTACTCTCATAGTGCCCTCTCTTGATGGTTTGCTTTTAAATTAAAAGTGCTGATTTTCTTTTAGAGCACCCCTGATTCATAGAAATTATTCACTGAATTTTTTGTTATTCTCCTTTACCAAATGCATATTCTCAAGAAAGACAAAGCATTCACATCTGAAGAGATAAAAATGACAGTAAATAAGGTGGCAGCTGGTAAGTAGTAAAATTATCTGGTATAAATCATAATTTATTTCATCAAAACATTCTATTCCTCAGAAAGCTGGAAAGAGCAGGGTGATCCCATTTAGGAAAACACTTGCTTTCTCTATGCTTTATTTATTATGTTTTAGGAACTCTTTGTGAAATAGGCAAACCTTCCTCCTGACTGCTAAGTGAGAAATTCTCTAAGTTCACATTGCAGACCTTGTTTGTGCTGTAGAGCTATAGTTAACCCATTCCAATTTGCTTGAACTAAAGGCTCAATATTCATATTTCTCTGCTCGAGAACCAGACTGTAATCCAGAGAGGGAGGAACAGTGGCAGTTGTACACCATTATTTAGATCAGTTCAGGTAAACAGTTGTCAAAGTATGGTCAATAAGAAGAGGTGTGTCATATGCCATAGCTGGCCTTTAAACTAAAGGGGATTTTTTCCTGACCAAATGGTATGTCACAGATAATGGATATTCTGTGCTGCAACTTTGGGAAGTAAAGATGCAGACAGCAAGGAAAGGCCCCTTGTATTCCTCCAGGTAGCTAGATAAATCTAGCTTAATAAATCAGTAAGTCTTTTCAGCATATCAGAGCAAATTCAGCAAAATCAGCTGGGTCAAAAACACATTACCCCCTCCTCTGCTTATATCATATTATATAAATAAATCAGCATGCTAGCTCTCCAGTAAACTTGGCATACTTCTCAGGAACAAAGTGAAAATAATTTCTAGCAACAGGCACTTTACAGGACTGTAAAAATCTTTTTGCCTCCTTCCTTGATCATGAAAGGGATTTTTGCCTAAAGGAAAAATAAAAAAATAAATTCACTCATCCCTCCCTGTCTTGGGCACACATGTTTGAAATCAAGTCAGGAACAATATATTCTTCCGGTGATTTTCAAGAATTCTTAAGGTTCATGTTTTCACTACTAATGTAAAACTCGATTAAATATATCTACAATCTGGATGATATACATTGAGAATCAAAATGTTCAGGAACAGTAGAAAGGATCTGGGGAAAAAAAATAGAGGTTGCTTAACTTTGTGCCTTTCATCCCCAGTAAGGTGATATGCCTCTAAAATTGACTCAGAAGCATTCATAACTGTATATGTACAGGCAATGTTTGTCCTAGAATTGCTACCCCAAAACACACAGATTAAAAATAAATAAAGCATTGGGTTTGAATTGTACTTAAAAATTTTAAATCCCCATTTGTATATAGTTATCGTATTTGTGACTGTTTAGAAGAATTACTGTTTGTTATATGGCAAAGTAAAAAAAACTTATTTTGTTTACATGAAGGGAAGCTAGGTTTTCAGAATCTGCTCTTTTTTTTCTCCATTTCACATCTTTCTCCTACTCCATTAGAACTTTTACACAGTAAAACATTTAAGGCAGACCAAGCCTGTATTAAACGTTCCAATGCCAAAGAAGCTCAGAAGTAGCTTTAAGTAGTTTCATGCACTACATATGGCCCAGAGTCCCAAAAGTAATTTAATTTAGTCACTTTTTCTTACCCTTAAAGCTATTTTTTTTCCTTCTCTGTGACTGTATGGAAGACTCACATAGATAGAAGAGAAAAACAGCAACTAACATTGTTGAGAGAAACAGTGAAATTCAAACATACTTCAAGGAGCCCATAGCACTTATGGAAGTCTCAAGCCAGAGAATAAAGGTAACTGTGAACCAGAGTACTCTTATGAGGTGCCAATATTGTCATTTAAAGATTGATTTGCAGTTTTTAAGTTTGAATTTCATTACCCTTGTAAATTTATAAGATATTTAGTGCTGTTTTTAAAAGACAGTAAATTCTCTAGAAAAAAAAAATTAACAGAACTCTGTTTAGGAAAGATCCTGCTGATATACTGCCTATTTAATTTTTATGCTACCTTTTTCATAACAATATCCTAAGTTTTAAGTAACAAATATTTATTACATTCTTCTATTCTTGTTTCTCATTCACCACATAAATCATGGTCTTCCTCTCTCTGCCTTTATAGCAGCCAGCTGTGGTTTTAGAAACAAATTATTATGACTTCAAGTGATGAATAAACAGCAGAAGCAAAGGAAGTCTTGAGATACTATCCACATACAAATTCCATTAATAACATAACATAGGGAAAGAGAACTACAGCAAAGCTGTAAAAAAGCAGCTTTGCACCTAGGCAAGATGCATTCCATTTCTCCAAGATGCATTAGTGCACTTTAAATAAATAGCCCTAATTTGAACACTATGATATCAAAATAACATATTTTTGAGCAAAAGCTCTGTGCCTGCATATATGGAATTATTCTAGTAATAAAACTAGATCTGTATTATTTTTTTATTGTTCTTGTGAAAATAGCAAAGCCAGTGCCATTCTGGAAAAATTAATATAAGTTTTATGCAAGATCTCACATTATCGGTAGCTGAACTGTCAACTAAATTTCAAGGAGTACAAATGTATTCTCTCCCCTCTTCACATCTATCCAACAAAAAGTTAGTGGGGATTTCTGCAAGAGTCACTGGAGGCTGGATCTGAGGCTATCTGAATTGCACGGACAAAAACAGGAACAAGAATGACCTTCAGGACCTAAATTGTTTTAAACCATTTCTGAGAATGCTTAAGAAAGACCGTGTTTGTTCCTCAGACCTCATTTTAAATCTGTGCTGCTGCCAGTGATTAAAACCACCTTTTTCATAAACTGAATAAATTAAATTCAAAAGCACCGAGGCATGACAAAAAGGTGAAACTATACTGACCAATATTTCACTTAACAAAGTAGATTTTTTTTTCTCAGATGAATCTGCTTAATTACTAAATATAGCACTTAATTTTTAAGATAACTATTAACTCTCTTATTCCCTGATGCTTAAGAATTATAAGCAATAGCTGTTACAAAGTCCTTCAGGAACTGTTTCTTTTTTTTTAATTGTTATTATTTTAAAGAAACGTCGAATTACAGGCGTTACTGGGGATTACGACCCAAGGCAGCGTGTCCCTATGGGAGTTTTCTCCGTGCAGAGGAGGTGCCGGCTCCCTCAGCCAGACAGTCCAGCCTAATACATATTCATTTACCACTTTGATAACAAAGACTCCCTCCCCCCTCCCGGCCTGATTTTTAAGGAGATTATTTTGTACTTTTTTTTTTTTTCCCCCGAGGGCTTCAAAAAGACACCCCTTAATCCTTCTCCCGTCAATTCGCGCTCCCAAACACCGCCGGGCAATTTGCAGGGAGCCCTGACCTGCAGATAAGGGCAGGGGTGAAACTATTACGGCTACTTTTCCTTTGTTTCCCCTCTTTTTTTTTTTTTTTCCATTTTTTTTCTGCGTGTGTGTGTGTGCATGTGTGTGTGTGTGTCTTTCTAAAGTTGGCTCGGGGCCGCCCGGGCAGCGACAGAAGGTGGCTGGTTACTGAGCAGCACCCGCGGCGAAATCAATCATCTTTACGCCGAAAAACAGCTTCGCGGTTATTAAAAATAATAATAATAATAATTAAACAAAAAAAAAGAATCGGGGCGGGGGTGTGTGGGGGGAGAAGATCGGCGCGCGCATCGGCGAGCAATGGCTGTTTGTAGCAACGAGGTATTTAGCGCCGGAGGGTGAAGGGGGGTGGAGACCAGGGTGGGGTGTCCCAGGAGCTTCGGCCGCCGCAAGTCCCTGGCACGGAGCTCCTGGCATCAGCCCCTGACGCGCTCCCGGCCCTGAGGGCGGGCCCCGCCGCCGCGCTCAGGTGCCCACGGCTGCCGGCGCCGGGCAGGCCGGGCACCCCTCGCCCCGCCGTCCCGGCCGGGGGGGCCGCGCTCAGCTCCCGCCCGGTTACCTCAGGGGGTCCCGCCGTGCCCGGCCCCGCCGGCCCGGTCCCCCCGCGGCCCCAGGCACTGACCTGCGCGTCGCCCGCGGCCCCGCGGGCGGAGGAGGAGGCGGGGGGGCCGCGGGGCAGCATTCGGCGACCGCTGCCCCGGCGTGACAGGGGCGGCGGCTCGGTGCGTCGGCCCTGGCTGGCCGCGATCGCGGCGGAGGCGCCGGAGCGGGTTCTGTCACATGATGCGGTTCCTGGAAAGTTCCTGGAAAGCAGCCTTTGTATGTAACCATCCCGGGAGGGGGGAGCGGCGGGGGCAGGATGCCCTCGCCTCGCAATCAAAGGCGAGCAGACCGCCCGCGCCGGGAAGAGGGGGGGAGCGGAGGGTGTTGTTTCCCCAGAAGCACCATCCTTCTCCGGCAGCCTCTGTTCACCCCAGCACAGCCTCAACGCTTCTCCCCGGCGGCGAGTGCTCTGTCCCTGCGGCCCCGCAACGCCGCCGGGAGCCAGAACAACCTGACCACCCATCTCCAGGCGGTGGCAGCGGCAGCCCCAGCCCCGTCCCGCCGAACCCGGGTGAGTCCGCTCGCCCCCCTCCGCTCGATGAGCTGCCGCGCTTCGAGAGCGGGCAGCCCGCCTCCCCGCTACCAGGACGGCGCTGCCGACTGGCGGGATGGGGCTCCCCCGCAGCCGACGGCAGGCTGCTCCGGCGCTCCTCGCCCCGGCCGGGGGATGCCCCTCTGCAGCCATCCCCCACCGCCTCGCAAGCCTTCCGTCCCCATCGAACTCCCGCGAGCGGCGGCGCTTCGCGGCCAGGCTCTCTCGGAGCTTCCCTTTCACAAGAGGTCGCGCCCGGACACCGCCGGCAGGGCTGCTCCCACCTGTGATCGGCGGCCCCGCGCTCGCAGCCGCTCCGGTGACAGGCGCACCTGCGCCCCGTCCCCGAGCCGGCAGCGGGAGCTTCTAAGCGCAGCGGAAGAAGGGGATGGGCTTTGCCAGGGGGTTGCTGCTAGTGCATGTGTTAAGATAGAAACCCGGCAGAGCAGCCTATCAGTTGCCACTATAGTTCAATTTGGAAAAGTTTCTGAGCTCCGCCATGGAACTTGTTACGGGAGGAACCACCTCGGCATAATGCCTCACCTGGCGGCTGCTGCGCACCCGGAGGCAGAGACTCTGCCCAGTTCGCAAGCACCAGCGACGGGTCCAGGTCTTTATGGGTCTCCCTCCACCCCAGCTAAGCCGGCTAGGCTCCCCCTCACTGGTGCTGCCCGGCTTTGTATTGCTCCTGACGTGACGGTGCTCCTAGTAGAGGAGAGGCTCTTTTTGTCCCTCCCGTTCGCTTCAGCCGAGCGGAAAGATTTTTTTTTTCCTAATATCACATTTAATAGAGCGGGAAAAGCACATTTCCTGCCCCCACTAATTATATCGCACCCTCCACGATGCTGCCCCTTCCCGTTCCCAGCGGCCAGCGAGCCCCCGGAGCTGGCGTTGCCCGCGCACCCACTCCGCAGTTTCTCGGGCACGCAGCTGCCCGAGAGAAGCTCTCCCACCCCGGGAGCACGGCCCAGGCCGGGCTCCCGTTCCTGGAGGTACGAGTTGGCGTACGATCTTACTGAAAAGCACTACCGTACCGTTCCTACGCACCGCAGCGTGCAAGCCGGGCAGGGCCGGGGCTGGTACTGCCCCACTCCGTTGGTTACCCCTCCTCACTCATACCTTTACGTGCTCGGCTCTCCCCTACGACCTCCTCCCTCCCCAAACGCCCCCGCCTCGGTGCTGCCGGCCAGGTTCGCCTGCCCCGGCGGAGGCGGCGCATCAGCAGGTTTGCCCTTGCAATAAAGCGAGACCACCTTCGCGGGCCGCCGCCTCTGCCGCGTGCCCGGCGGAGGGGAGCCGAGGACAGGCTGTGTGGTGGGGGGAGGAGATGTCCCTCCCCCGCTCCGCCGCGAGGTGATCTCTCGCCTCGGGTTCCTCCTCTGGATGCTGGGAAGTTCCGAAGCGGGATCGCCAGAAACACACGGGTTGCGAGAGGGAGCGCCTCTCGCGGGGCTCGCCGCTAACCACGCTGTCTCTCCGCTCGCAGGCGGCGCCCGGGCTGGGGACCGGGACCATGTACCCGGCACGGCGCTGAACCCCGCGGCGGCGGCGGCGAAGCGGAGCCCTCCCCCGCCGGCAGCCCCCGACCTGCGTGCGAGCGGGGCCGCGCCCGCCGCCGCCGCCCATGACCCTGCGCTCCGCCGAGTCCCTGGAGAGCGCGGAGAGCTCCCAGGAGCGCTGGGGGCACCGCGAGGCGGCGGCGCCCGTTGCCGAGGAGTCCCGTGAGGCGGCGCAGCTGGCCGCGGCTATGGAGGAGCTGCGGCGGGCAGGTAAGCCCGGGCGGCCGGGAAGGGGAAAGCGCCCGGGGCGGCGGCGCTCGCCAAGGCTCCCGGCTCCCCGCCGTCCGCCGCGCCGCGGTCTCGGGGGAGGCGGGGAGCCTCGCCGGGCCGAGAGGGGAAGCGGGCGGCGGGGCGACGCTTGCCCATCGCCGCCCGGTGCTGCGGGGTCGCGCTCCCACGGCGCAGAGGGGCGGCGGCGGCTCCGACCTTCCGCGGGCTGCGGCGACGGCCGAAGCGAAAGCGCCGGCAGCGCCGCGCCCCGGCGGCAGCCCAGGATCGGCGGCCGAGAGAGGGCCGGGCTCTGCCGCCGGCCGGGGCGGCCGCCGTGCCGCATCCCCTCGGCCCCGCGTACCTGCGCTCCGCTCGCCGGCGTGGCGGCGGCTCACCCGGCCCCGCAAGACGCGGGGCTTGGCGGCGGGCGGCTGGAAGGGCTTTTTGTGTCCATCGCCGCCGCGCCAGGACCGCAGCCGCCCCGCCGGAGTTTTCTTACCCCTCTCTGTTTCCGATCGCTACACAAAGCTCATTTTAACAGCAGCCTGCCCGGAGTTGCTGGGCTCTCTGCGGGCTGCTAGCCTGTGCCGTGCGGACGCCGCGCCGGCCCCGGCGGGAGCGCAGTGGGGAGCCGCGGGACGCGTCCCTGCTGCCTCGGGGGCGGCCCGCCGGATCCGCGGCTCCCGTGTCTGCCTCGCAGGACGCTGCGGGAAAGTTTGTGCCTGTGTATGCATAGATATGAAAATAAAGAGTGACCTGAACGACTCTGTCAGAACGAGACGCATTGTAAAGCAAATGGATTTAAATAGCAAATAAAAATTTTATTGTGCCTGCAGGACTTTAGCTTTCAAACAACAAAGGAAATGGGTGACTACAAGTATATCAGCTAAAGAGCAGCTTTTTAAACAAACAGGAATAAACAAATCCCTTTTTTTTCTCACTTTTTAACAGGATGGTACTGGGGCAACATGACTGTTGCTGAAGCCAAAGAGAGATTACAGGATGCCCCCGAAGGAACCTTTTTGGTTAGGGATAGTTCACATTCAGAGTATCTACTGACTATTTCAGTAAAAACATCAGCGGGACCGACCAATCTACGTATAGAATATCAAGATGGCAAGTTTAGACTGGATTCTATCACTTGTGTCAGATCTAGACTTAAACAGTTCAACAGCGTTGTGCATTTGATTGAGTACTATGTTCTTATGTGCAAAGACAGAACTGAAACACCTTCAAATGGAACAGTTCATCTTTACTTGAACAAACCCCTCTATACGTCCGCTCCATCTCTGCAACACCGCTGCAGAATAGCTATAAACAAGAGTACAAATCAGATCTGGGAGCTGCCATTACCAACAAGACTAAAAGAGTACTTGAAAGAGTATCAATACCAGGTATAAATATATTTTCTAAATGCCTCTAACATAGAGTAACTTTTGAATGCAATTCTTAAAATCAGCCAAAGAACTGAGTAACTACTTGTACAACTCCACATGGAATTCACTATCAAAACAGTGGCAGTTCTGGGGAAAAGGTTTTTATTTCAGATGCCACAAAGGGAGACTTTATGTAGGATAATCCCAACTTGCATCCTTGAGGGTTCAACAAGGTGGCATGCTATTCTTGCAAGGAGAGAGAAGTCAGGAATCTGTCCAGATTGTGTTGCTTTGTCAATGGCATAAAATGCTGCACTAACTATCAAATGCTTACTGAAGCAGTGGGACTGGGAGAGACTGCAGAAGTGGTCAGAGACGTATGAGAGTTCACAAGTATCTCACTTGTCTGATTCCAAGATTAATTTGGTGCTGGTGTTCATATAATCCTAAAAGCTTAACTAGATCACACTGTGATAATCTTGCTGAAGTTATGCAACTAATCAAATCCAGTCAGAAAATGATCATGTATTCAGTTTTA